GGTAGGGGATTGGACTCAATGATCTGCTAAGGTCCCTTCAGACCCAAACATCTATGAATCTATGAAAGACATCAAAATAAATGATGGATAACACTGGATATTTTAAAAAACATATGTATCTAGAAGGTACAAGTACTAACCACAACAATATCATAGCAGCAAGTTGGCATAAATGCTAATGATGGTTAATTCAGGTGGATAATTAATCTATAAGAATCAGGGGCCCAAAGAAAGGTGTACTGCAGAAGTTTAAGGCAAAAGGGAAATGTTTCTAATACGAATATGTACAAATAAAAGGGGAGCTACTGTGAAACTGTGAAATAAATAATACCTCTTGGCATAGTCATAGAGGGTGAGGACAGATATAATGAATGAAATGTTTCCAAGTGAAATACATTTGGAAATGTTTCAAAAAGGGAATATTTTGACCAACAGACACATGTAGGCTCCTGTGCCATTCTGGCTGGAACATTTCAATGCTGCAACCTCATTTAACTCCAGCTAGGAGGTCCTAGAAAGACTGCAGCAACCTGCCCCTCTGCTCTCAACTCCCTCTTCCTCTTCTCAATAGGACGGGAGGGAGGGGGGAGGGAAGAACAGAGGGAAGAGCAGTGTGGACAGGTAAGCTAGCGGGGAGGCTCCCAAATCTGAACCTTTCCTCTTCCTCTTACAGAGGAGGATTAGAGGGGGTTGGAATAGAGGGCTTGGCACCAGTGTTAGCAGGGCCCCAGATGTCTGGCAGGGTGGGCAGGGGTTAAGTCCAGCTCTGGCTCCTGTCCCAGCCCAGCTCCCCTATGCTTCCAGACACAGGTAACCCTGTGCTGTGTCCAGTGTGCCTGATCCCACATGCTACATGAAGCACACACCAACCCACATCCAAGGCTCATGCCACACATTGTACAGGGCCAGCATAGTACATGCTGCATGCTGCACCTTTGGTGGCCTGGCTTTACATGATGACTCTGGCCTAACTGGACGAAACAGTACAAATTTCAGATTTGGCTGTAGGG